TTGAATAATGACAGGACTGGATGTTCACTCTACTGACAAAATGTAACTGTTAAGTTATGTAGGAAACAGTAATTTCATGTGTATGTGTGCCAGCTGTTTGGGTCTCGCCTATTTCATATTACAAGTGAAATAAATATAGCGTATTGAACGGGAAAACCATGAAATTTTCTATTTCTTACATTTCTTTCACGTTTCGCTGCGCAAATATTGCTACATCAGAAAAGCGCGGGAATGTATAACGTAGTTTTTGACGCCAAATTATAATGACGTCATGCTTGACAACAATACAAAGCGCCACTTTGAATGGGTTTTCACTGCAATTTTGCCGTTTGCTAGTATATCTGGTAAGATTTCCAGACAAAAATGATATTAATTGTGTAGTTATGTAAAAACAACAATGTATGCTGCAAAGGTAAACAGCTCAACCACTTATACTGCCGTCACTTCATCTAAACTTGAAACTGAAAATCTACGCAGAAATATAATGTACCGTTCAGATTGGACAATACTTACAGAGTGAAGTTTTTACTTGTGAAGATATAATGTTTCGTTTATCTTCACTGCATTAAATATATGTTTTTATTAAATAGAGAATTCATGATATTTTACAAGTAAACTGCAATCAATACCGATACGGTAGGGTTTACCAACATATTTTTGTAGACAGTATGCGGCCTTAATTTCCCAGAAGGCTTTCACGCATGGGGAAGCACCGGAAGTGGACAAAGTGTTTACAGATCAAACCCCGGCGGCGCTTTGCGCCGCTTGGGGGTTTGAAAAAACATATTAGCGGGGTATAAACTGCGCCAGTAAGACAGCTTTACTCAAACATAAACCGGAACCCGAGGTATCATTATAATAATCATAACAACGGACCTTGAACCGGGTAAGTTAATCCGGAATACACTACTAGTGGCACTGTATTGTTACCCAATTATAAAACAGACAAGAATTCATCTGGACGAGTCAAACGACGCAAAGATTTTATCTTAAAACGATCTTAAACGAATCTATCGGAAATATGTATGGGATCTGATATCGCTCATGGTTTGGCCTAGCTATGTACCGGCCATTTAGACAATCAGTTCTCCCTCCAGCAAAGAGGCCGAACTATCGGGATACGTAGCCACAACGTGTCTATAGTTACATGTATACAGACAAAGTATAAAAAGTGTTCATAATTTTTTTGTGGTTTTTTTTTTAAGATTCCAACCCTCATGAAAATCACCTCCGGATAAGTAGCACAAATATGCTAACTATTCGACTCATACTCAAGGAAAGAAAACAGATTTCTTTTTAACAAATTACCGTGAATACCGCTGGATCCTTATCAATGACGTCGAAGGGAGGCAACTGATGTTAAAAACAAACTTTGATACAACAAAAATCTTTTATAAAGACAAATGGCAGAGTGTTAATGAATGTCTGACGAATACCGCGATTCGTGTCACCCATGATGACCTCACTTTCATCACGTGTGATTCTATTTCATGATTTATCTGCAGAAAGGCGTGAAAAACACCTCCTTTCACTTCACAAATATCGCATTAACGACACATCGACAAACATTCACACTATCCTAGGAGCAAATGACCCTATACGTTCTCACGTCCAATCGGGGAATCGAACCCGATCGCCTTTATAAAATATGGGAGCGTTACCTGCGCCACCAGACCACCCAACTTATTTTGCCTATTGCCAATTCATCAAACAAAATATGAAGGTATTTAACATTATTTTATATTTCTTACTCTAAACAAGTAAAGCAAGGAAAGATATCCTTGTCTGCTTCCCCATAAAAAAATATATTTGAACGAAGGTCAAGGTCACCAATTTTTACCAAATCAAGACGAGTTTTGTTTAGGCGATGGGAGACAACTCGACAGACAATAAAATTGCTTACTGAAAAATGGGGATTTGGTAAGTTTTAAAAATAGTCCCATGGAAAAAAACAGTCGTTCATACTAATATTAAAAGCTGTTTGGGGTATTATTAACCAATTTCAGGGGCTCGGTTTCGGGATACTTTTGGTTGATAATAAACCTTTACACACCAATCAATAACAGCAACACTTTTTATCCGGTGTTTATACACATTCTAAAACCTTATAAAAATTGAGGGTATAGAGGTATATATTTTTTTTTTTTTATACTTTTCGAAAATACGAAGTGTACTTAAATATGAAATGAGGAAATGTCAGGAAAAAATTAATAAATAAAAAATAAATTAATTAATACGTGCGGTACAGTATTGGATTTCCCTAATTTTATTTTAAGTACGACACGCGCATGCGTTAGTTGTATCTGTGCCGTTTGCTGTTATCTAGATGTTTTGTGCCATGAATTCCCGAATGCGTCAAACACGAAGGGGTCATCTTAGTCCCAGTACTCGCTGACCCCTTTACTACATCCCTAGGTAAAGTGTGAGTGCTGTATACCTACCTGCCAACCGTGTGATGCAATATCCACAAAGCGGCACATTCTTCTACTGAAGAGACAGACGCTGTCGATTGGTATGCCCACGGAATTAGATTATCTAAGCAAACACATCTGCAATGACATTGTTTGGTTTAGTTTGGTTTGTTTTTGTTTAACGTCCTATAATCAGCTAGGGTCGTATATAAGGACGTGCTAGGTTTTTTTCTGATGGACGGAAACCGGAGTGCCCTGACCTGGCGACTGCCCAACTTACATAAAGGCCTTGAACCCGCCACGCAGTCATGATCTCTTCCAAAGTTAAAGGCCATAGACGGTCAGACCACAGGGACCTGGGAATGTGTGACAGCTATAGTTGGACCTAGGCTAAGGTGTTTAGAGTAAAACACGTTTTAGGGGTTTATCTTAATTTTCGTTAAATTATGACACCCCAATGATGATAAGATACGGGAAGGGACGAAAGCTCTCGGTGTAGTAAAATCGACCCCACCTAACTTTCAAAAACCACATTTTTAGTTGATGTACCAAAATATACTCAGTACCGTTGGAAAGATGCATAATTTATTCTTTTAAACTTACTTTATTCACGTAAAATTTTATTTCATTCCTCAGACGTGATCTCCGTTTCCTCCAAAAACACGCGCCACTTAACAGAATGATGTCAGCAACGTACTGAAACCCGTGGAGTAAGTAGCTGAAAGCGCAGACATTTCCCTCTAAAATAATCAGCCAAACAACACGACATGTTTCGACACGTGGCTGACGTCAACCTTATGAATATTTATGACTGCGAAAAACTTTGAAACTCGGAATTGGCGAGTGATTTTGGGGGAAACGGAAATCATTTCTGCAGACGAAAATACATTTTACGTAAACATATGAATTTTTAAAAAGAGAAATTATGGGAGAAATGTACAACAACAAGAATTGAAAATATATGTTTGCGGTAAGCGAGGTGGCAAAGAGAATAAGGGGCATTATATCGAGGTGACTGTGGTTATGGGTTATGGGGCCGGACATGGGACACGTGTGTTGTAAAGGGAAATATGAATATACCGTTAAGGGGTTATGGAGACGTGTGTTCTGTTGATATTGAATTAAAACGGCCAAGTACATGCGGTTAAGGGGTTATGGGGACGTGTGTGTGGTAGAGATATGGAGTGTTGGAAATTTTAAGATAATATGGGTCATGTGTTAACAGTTACATCAGTCAACTACTGACCTTCTGGAGATGTGAAAAGGGGCTCGGGCCTAGTCCAAACCTCCGATACACCTTATTAATGTGAAACCTGCGTCAAACAACACCGCACTATTTTGAACTTTCCAGTTTGAGCATTGAAGTTTTTTCCCCCAACGACTTGTCTCATTCAAACTACATATCTACATGCCTCCCTTCCTCAGCTTAGTAAACTCTGACTGCGTATGAATTCGCGTATACGCAGTGAAAAAAGGATCGGCGGATTGATGCTTGTTTCAAATATGGCGCCGTTCATACTTCAGCGAGATAACAGTCCAATGACAACCAATGCTTGGATCTACAACAAAAGAATGCTGACAAACTGCTGATGTCATGGATGCACATACAAATGTCTGTGGCAGTAACGTCAAAAATGGCGGCTTTGTTCTGACCGCGTCACTCCATGAGCAGTGTGGCAATGCGCGTACATGACTACCGTTGTAAATGAAAAGAAAAGTTCAAAGCGCTTCTCACATTGCTTAATTTGAAATTTGAAAACAATGAAAGGAAAACAAATAGTGTTGTTTACTGCGTACTTTCTAAATTTACTCATATTTCGATGTAGATTCACTGGAACTATATTGTCCTAGCACAACGCGCACCATAGCATATGTTCGTTGTCAACTGCGTTCATACTACCGTAGACGGCGTCAATCCTTCATTGAATACATTGATACTGCAGGGTTGTCAACGGCTAGCCCTTTAACTGGTTACCCGGTAGGAAGACCACGAAACGGTTACAAAAATCAATAACCGAATAGTCATACAATTACTTAACCATACTAACTGAGGTTGCATGCAACCATTTCCTGCGTCAAGCTTGAAATACACAAGTAAACTAGTATGCTCATTAATGTATGTTTGTGGTGGAAATACGTTTTAGATAGAACATTTTCTAAACATATGTGTTTGTTGCTGTTATTTATTTGATAACCACTTACCGATTAACCGGTTACTCGCTCGGAAAATTGTTCGAGTAACCGGCTATCAAAATATGACTGGTTTTATAACCTTAATTGATAGAAAATGTCTTATAAACTGAACTTTTACGACACAATCGCGGTTGTAGTATACAATTCAATTAATCAAGCACATACATATTGATTGAAAAAGAACTACTCAACGTATTATTAAAACACATGTCTACGGAATGCTTTTGCGTTTGTGTGTGGTTGTGTGATGGTTGTAGTGTAGAGGAACGGTAGAGGGGCAAGATAGTGACTTTAATAACTAAATATCGACAGGACAGGACACTTGAGACAGTTTTTGGGCCACTGCTACTGATAAAAGCCGGGCAACAGATTTAAGTACAGCAATGTTAGATAAGGTATCACACAACCATCCGCAATACCCCGACCGCCGCAGTGACCCTCGACGTCCCGTACTAACACGACACCGTCCCGTAAACCACGCGGAGACTTCGGAGGCAAAATGATGTTCCTAGCAACTTTCACGGTAATTATTGGACTAAGTCTGGCACAGACTCCAGAACCGTGTGACAAGGATGCCTGCCTTCTTCCGAATTGCCGTTGTTTCTCTGATACGGATATTCCAGGTGCGCTAACGCCACAGGAAACTCCACAAATCGTGACCATCTCAATGGACTACACCCTGAACACGGAGTACGCGCCCCTCTATGAGCAGGTATGTAGGAAAATTGTTACATTCCTCCATGTGAGGTGCATGTTTCGCTTGACTCCTCAAACATAAAAAAAATGATTAGACGTACGCAATGGCACTACCGTAGTAATCCCGATAGTGCGATAGTTTGTTTAGTGTGAGGGGCGAATATGAAGGTACGTCAATTCCGAGTATACGGATTTCTATGACCAGATAAATAATTTACAAATAGTAGACTCTTATGAGAATTATGTGTAGTCCGAATACTAGACTATCTTTGATCAGCTATATACATTCCGAAAACTAGACCCTTTTTGACTCGGTAAGTGAGTTCCGAATATTAAAGTATCTTTGATCGGGAAGGTGAGTTCGGAACGTAAGAGTATTTTTTATCGAGAAAGTGAGTTCCGAATGTTAGATGATTCCTTGACTGGGTGAGTTAGGGCCGAATTATATATACATGTACTAGACTTTCTTTGAACGGAAAGGCTAACAGGAAGTAGTCCTTCCAGTATGCCGAAGACGTCTCGGCATGTATGTACATGTACTCCAGGTTCTCACGTTGATATAAAATCCCTATCAATGGACATTTCTTATAATCCTTCTTGTTCGATACCTGGTATAGAGTATGGTTGCACACCATCGTTTTTCATAGTTAGCCCTGATTATCTATGCATTCCATGTAATAGTCACGTTCAACCAGACTCTTGGTGTCTGTGCAAGCTACGCAGTGATCAAGCGTCTGGTTGACACAGACTACCCATGTATAAGGGTCATAACATTATGGCAGCCATTTTTCAATATGGCGGACGATATTTTTTTTACAGATCTTTGTTGTCAACAACCCGAACGGATGTCCCATCACGGGCACATTTTACATCCAGGACCTCAACACTAACTACGACTCCGTGAAGGCTTTCTATGAAAAGAAATTTGAGATTGGAGTTAGTTCCTTTAACGGAACACTGCCGACAACATCCACGGGATGGATTGACTTGATGAAAGGTGACGTATCCAAAGGGTCCTGAGTAATCCGAAACAGCATTGAGCAGACGATAGTCTGTCTAAACGGAACACAAAATAGAATTTTAGATGTAAATCCATTGGCCCCTCCTCCTAACTATATTTCGGACTTAGGCAAGGCTTTTTTTTTCGGTTGCACTAACCGAAATCTTATGAAGTCTGTTCTTTCTTTTTTTTTCCTTTCCTTTTAAAAAATTGTTTACCTCTCCTCATCTGCATTTTAGTTTCTTTACACAGACGTCATGTACATTACCATACTTTATTTATTCATTTACCCCCCACCCCCCCCTGTCTTTTTCTCTCTCTCGATATATGCATGAATGCAATTGAAAAAAAGAAAAAGTGTATATATGTATATTATTGAGTCTGTCATCTTATAACATGTATATATATGTTTGTAATTTGCTGGGAAAGGGCTTAATATAGGATTAATAACTTGTGCCCAATCCATTTGCATGACAATAAAATATGTTTAAACTCTTCACTTGTGTGTACATAGATTTATTTTTCTTCTTGCTTAATGAATATTAGGGATTGTATGCCTTGTTTCTTTAACAATTATAACTTGTTCTTTTTCCATATGCTGTTAAGCGCTTTAGAGTAATTTTACAAATTATATAGGGTGCTATATGAATGTTGTATAGCATAATTATTATTATAATCATTATCAGCTCTAGCATCTGTGTTACGTATCAAGCAAGTTTGGGTCTAGTCTTTGGATATGGTTAACCTTAGTGATAATTCTAAAACCGTTTATATTCTACAGTATATTAAATATATATATTTGTACAATATCAATATTTGTTGTATGTTTGTGTGATGTTTTTTTGAATTTGTTTGCAAGGAGTCAAAGCTAAGATCGTGGGTGCAAGTATCGACGAGAAACAGGTTTTTGGTTACCGTGCCCCTCAGCTGGCCCCGGGAGGAGATGATATGTTTATAGGTTCGTATGTTTACATGTCTTAGTACAACGAGTAACCTCCCTTTGCCGTTACATGGCCGCTTCCAATATATAAATGTTTCTATATTTAACACTTGTTTCACGGAGGAACTATTTCCGTTTTATAACGACCGTAAATAATTATATTAAATAAACAAATAAGCAGTTAGATTAATCAAATAAATAAATAAATAAATAAATATAGGAAATATAAACTCCATGACTTTGTTGTTCAGCTGAAAGATATTTAGTGAGGTCAATCGTCCATGAGAAAACTGAAGAGAAAAAAACATCTCACAAAATTAGAATTATTTATAGCACATGTATCCATTAGTTTTGGTCAAACCAGTGGACTGTTTATGACTATTGTGGTGGATTCTCTTGGTCATATGTGACGCCAATTGGGAACCATCGGTACTTTCCTGGAACGTGGTCGGGTGGGCAGCTCACCCGACTTTTACCTTGGCGACGGGGTTCGACTCCCCAATCAGAAATTAAAAGTATGTCACCTGCCCAAGCATGTAAATATATAGATTGCACAAACAACTTTATGGTAATTCTGTAATCTAAATTAAAAGTAAAATGCATCTGCATGTTATTGTGCCAGTAACTGTAAAATATCTGAGTATTAGAAAGTAACAGATCTAGAGTGTGCTACCTTCGTGTTGTTACTATTTTGGGACACAAAAGCGACCAAAATATATCTGCTGCACCCACTGCCATTGTTGGGATCTTTATCTTTCTTTCTACTTCTAACTACCTTTTATTTCCTGGGCAACACCTCACTTTTGGCTTTAAAGTTGAGCGTTCGCCCAGGTGAGGAAGGCAATGGGTTTTGTCCCCAGGCCGGGACATACCAAAGTCCCTGTTTAACGTTCAGCATTTAAGGGAATGGCAACAACTGTTTCCTCCGTTGTCAGTATAATGTGACCAGGCGGAATTTTGTGCTTGGTGTCTTCCGCATAGTATTTCAGTGACATAGCGCTATAAAGTTGGCATCAGATCCGCGCTATCACAAGGAGGCAAAAACTCCAACATACCCTGTCTCCTGCATACACACACGTAAGCACGCATTCCCTACACACATGGAGGCACATACTTAAATGACCTTAGCTGTTAATAGGACGTTTAACAAAATTAAACCAAACCAAACCAATGTTACAGGTATCGCCGACCAACAGTTTCTGTACGACTCCAGTTGTGGCACGTCGGAGTACGCCACGCAGTCGACGCTAAAGTGGCCTTTCACTTACGACTACGATTACGGATCATTCACGTGCAATGGCGGCCAGGCGGTTAACTTGAAATTTCCAGGTAAACAATTGTAGTTCTCCTGTTAATAATTATGAGCCGCGAATTTCACTAACTTTTTTTCAGGAATTTCTAAATGAAAATTCCCGTATTCTAACTTCCTTCTTATTCGATTTTGGTAGAGGGATGGGGGAATGTCAAAATTGTTTCGGAAGTGACTTCTGCGTATGCTGATCTGTACGCAGAAGGGAAGCATAATGGCCGCAGCCACGTGTGTAAGCTCCAAAGGCATGACGTCACCATAGGTAGGCCCGTAACGTTTCCTCATCATTAATAAAGGACATGCTTTCTTTTTACCTTCAGGTCGCTGGCAGGTCTTAATTCCTGAGTTGGAATTCAATGATGAGAAATGTGCAACTCCCCAGGGATGTCCGAATATCGAGACGAAGAAAGATGCTTTCGATATTCTCTACAACAAGTACGTCAACATATCACTGACCAGCAAAACTTTACCAAAATATAACTTTATCTAATCAGAAGTACATGTAACTCTTCGTACCGAGCGACGAACTTTTCCACGTAACTTGCCTTATCATCAAGTAGGCCCTCTTGATTTCTATAGTTCAGCTTGAAGTTAATTGACTGAGCCCTTTTGCAAAAATCACTATACCTGCCCTTTAGTTGGCAACATCATACACAGAAAGTAAGACATGTCTATTTTGGTAAAGAACCGTAGTATACTCTTCCAGCATTACAGAAACAAGTAACTCATTTGTGCAATACATCCGTGCTCGTTGGCAGCAGCCTGATCGGTTACCATGGGAACAGAACCCTTCACTTTCAGTTTGCCATCAATTCAACAGATTCTGCCAGTACATGTATTTATCCGCCATTTTTAACATCATTTTGACAATTTTTGACTAACAGTATTCATTTACGTAAGAGCACATGTTCTATCGTATGACTTATGCTATGATTTTTATGGAAAATAACAATAATAAACAGTTCTGTAAATCGAAATAAGATAATCTTGAAATAGAAATGGCCTTTCAGATATACCAATAAACACAAATAATCTTTGTTCTATTCGATAAATAAACACAAATAGTTTTTGTTCTATTCGATAAATAAACACAAAAAATGGTGGAAAAAACTGACAGAACATAATGAAGTGAGGAGGATGTAGACGAGGTTTTTGTGTTCCCGTGACAACCGATCATGTTGGCACAAAGCACAATTATAAATAAGAGTCCTGTATCGTCATCATCATACCACATACTTGTACCATGAACTTACGTGTTATTTTTACGAACAAGGTATTTGATGTAAACAATCTTGAATTTAAAACAACAGAACAATTTTCTCTGCAACGAGATAACATAGTCTTTTACCGTTAATATTATCATATTTTACACAACTTACTATAACAAGAAATAAGTTTAAAAACAATTGACTCATATTCGTTCGTGGAGACACCTTTTTATTTAATCTTCTATGTTAACCCTTTCACCCCTATGTTACTTTAGTAGAATCTACCATCCATTGATATGGATGAGTTCATTATGGTCGACAGTGGTGAAAGGGTTAAAATTTGTCATAATTCCTTACATTTGTTGCTTGCAGCTTTGTCAAACACTACGACGGAAACCGGGCCCCTTACACAGTAGTTGTGGACCCCGTATGGATGAAGATTGACTACAAACGAGAGGGTCTCATACAGTTCGTCGAGTACGTTCGGGCAGCTTTTGATGTGAGTGTCACATGGTCAAAGGTCAATGAGTATATATGACTACTTGTAACGGGATGAGCATATTGTCAACTCTTATGATACTTACAATATTTAATTACAACATATATTAAGAACACAAAATATATCGCATCCACTGTCACGTTCACACAATTGAGTAACTGTATTTATACAGAGAATAAGCACTGGTACATCATATCAATGAGCAGCTATCCATCTATGCATACATTGTCCTTGAAATACAATCTGTCTTCACAGGTAGGCAGATATCCGGGGTAGACAAGGTCACAACCTTCTTCTTCCCCCAAGTGTTGGTCGGGTTCCTTACTGTAAGCTACAGCCTCCCACAATCACTTAGCCTAGTCATCTTCTCCAAGAAATACCTCTGTATCAAGCCTTAAGTGCAGACTGGCATGCCCCACTAAATAATGTTATCGTGATGCCCTTAACTATTTACATTAATGAAACGGACTTGATTTAATATATATATGTGATTGAAAAGCTTAACTATACATTGCACAAAAGTAATGCATACGACACCTTAATATTTAACACCCACTAACACGTGCGTTCCTTCTAATTAACCGATACCAGCTACCGTGTATATAGACACTATTCAGTATTTCTTGCATACTAGACCGAGATATCCGCATTTCCGGCGGTGCTGGAAAATTCTATCCACGCGAAGACTGGCGGCGACTTATAGTGACCTTTCGGGTCACGCTATTGTTCGTGACGTCATTTTATGACGTTTTGGGGTCAGTCAGGGTCATTGACGTCGTTAACAATTGTCATCCGTGCTGCATATGCAAATGGGTAATGCGCGGACAGTTTACAATTTTTCTAGAATAGCATCTGTTTTTACAGGTTTTAGGTAATAAGCAAGAAATAGAATCCATCCCTGATGTGAGGTTATAAGGATAAGGTTATTCAAACTCTCGGGATAAAATATTGAGCAAAAGACCATCGGCAAAGCCTCGGGTCTCCTGCTCACTATCTTATCCCTTGGGTTTGAATTACCTTATCCATACCTCACATCAGGGATGGATTATATTATTCCTATGCCCCTTTCTTACCCTGGACAGCTCTATCTTGCACACAGGGAAATGAGAGAAATGACTATATCAAGTGTAAGAGAAAGTGCTATTTGCATCACACAGCCATAATAATTTTCTTTAACTTGCCATTGTAGGATGTGTGGGTCGTCAACCAGATACAGGCTCTCCAATGGGTACAAAATCCTACTCCTGTCGCCAATCTTACAGATTTCGAACCATGGAAGTGTACCTAAATCTCGCTCTCTTCCCGAACAGTCTCGTTCTGACAGGAAACATCGGTATACGCTATGACTGACTGTTTGGACTCTTTGTATTTTTTTGGGAAAATAAAAGCAAATTAAATGTTTCACCTCTATATTCTTTTGATGTTGTGCTCAATTTAGACTTCCTCGTGACATTTCGCCCCCAGTTTCACTGAGAAAAGGAAAACATGTATTACCATGAAATTGACATTTGTTAATATTCATCTCATAATGAAGAGTAAATGTATTGGTAAAGTTCGCCATCGTATCTTCGCGAAATCTCGTAAATGTACACGAAATGTAAAATAAAATCCATAATATAAATGGCTTTTAGATATACTGACTAAGAGTGGCAGATATTGCTCAAGTGAAGAAGTTAATATTTGTCCGAATTGCTACAAAAGGTATCTGCGCAAAAGAGAATCTGAAACAGAACGTTTTGAAGATTTAACTATTATAAGTTTTCCTCTCTTTATAATCAAGGACCTGTTTAACGGGTCCTGTTCACATGAAAAATTTTGTCTTTGTAAAAAATGTATAAGAAATTTTAATTCGAAAGGAAGCAAAATCGGGCCAAACATCAGTTAAATCGTACCAGACATCAGTTAATTTTCACACACAAATTGTGGTGTTCTGCGTCATCAGGTGTATGCTCATTTCATCTTATTGGCAATGACCTAAACCCTTTTACACAGGTTATACTATAAGGAAGAGAGTCTTTGAATTTTCAATTGTGAAGTAGGTCATCCGAAATAATTTATGACCTTTTAGAAGTGTTATACATCAAAGAATCAATCAGCCTTCACTCTCATTTTTTGTCTCTTGGATGACCATGACTGCAAAGTCTGGACAAGATTGGTCAAATAACAGTTTCTCAAAATCGATTCGTACTTGGTCCCATTTCCTGCTTCTTCGGTATAAGTGTTTCGCTCTTTTTGACATTTCCCTGCCTAGTATTTCAAAAACATTTCATCCTAAAAGTCAAAGCATTGAATAAATTTAGTTCCAGTTTTTCTTGGTCCTGACCATTTGAGTAGGGAACAGATACGTTCACACAATACTTTATTCTCAGAAACATTCTTTGGAGACAAAGTGACTGCCTTAATAGATGGTGCATATATTTATATGATCTTTCTTAATAGCACATATGTAAGATTGGAAGTGGTTGACTGTTTCTTTTTCTACTAAGGGTCATGCTTTCCGTTTTTTAGGATTGAAATCAACTAACCAATATTTGGACCATTCATTATTTTTTTGTAGATCTGACTCCATAATGTTGTTTGTTTCTAAGGGGTTTTCAACTATAATGTACAGAGTAGTATCATCAGCAAACAATTTGGTAGAAGATTTGATATCGTTGACTATGTCATTAATATAGATTAAAAACAACAAAGGTCCAAGTATTGAACCCTGTGTAACTCCAGCCTTAACGCCTGCCCAATCAGAGTGAATATTATTGATTATAAGTCTTTGTTATCTTCTCGTTAAGTNATCGTTGACTATGTCATTAATATAGATTAAAAACAACAAAGGTCCAAGTATTGAACCCTGTGGAACTCCAGCCTTAACTCCTGCCCAATCAGAGTGAATATTATTGATTATAAGTCTTTGTTTTCTATTCGTTAAGTAGCTTTCGAACCATTTTAACAGTGATCCAGTTATTCCAATTTTTGATAATTTATACAACAGCCCTTTGTGCCAAACCCTATCAAATGCTTTGCTGATGTCACAAAATACTACTCTTATTTCTTTACCTGAATCTAATGCCTTAATAAAATCGTTGGAAATACTTAATAATTGGTTAATAGAGGAATCGCCTGGTGTAAAACCTGATTGATATTTTGTTATTACTTTCAAATCAAGAAGAAAATTATGAACATGTTTATAAACGCACCTCTCGAACACTTTACCAATTATACTTAAAAGTGAAATTGGTCGATAGTTTTTAACATCATTACGGCTATCTTTTCTTATATATAGGTAAAACATTTGCTTCTTTCCACGATGATGGAAATATTCCTTGTGATAAGGATTTATTAAAAAATATAGATAGTGGCTCAGCAAGTGATGTTGCAGCTTCCTTGAGCACTTTGGGACTATTAAGATCTGGTCCTACAGCTTTACCAGTTTTCAAATTGAGTAAGACATCCTTAACATCAGTACATGATAAATTATAATAAATATATATAATAAATGATATATTACTCAGACAAATACGATTAGGGAATTCTATTAGTGGAGTNAGAATAAGCACCCAACTACCAGCATCCGCATCAAAGTATTACGTCACAAAAAGAGAATGACGTCATTGTGACCTCATACGGGATACTTTAACTCTAAGATTCCTGCTTTAGTAACCTATGGAAAATGCTTCTTTGTGTCGAATGTACCTGTTTACTGTAAATCAAAGTTGTAGACAATTCATGGGGTACAAGGTGACATGTGCATATACGCTTTGTTGACTGTGAGACTTATTGAAATGAATTTAGCAATTTGCAAAGTTTAACTAGAGTATGAGAAAAGAACAAATATATGTTAAATGACCTACCCGTCACATGAATTCTGAAATACTTCTGGTGCTTACAAACATTGATGACTAGTAGACTTCTAGCATCAGAGAAATGGAGCTAAACGCAAACTCTAACCTAAGTACGGGAACCAAATACTGCTTTATATCAGGATTGTCGGGTGGCTGTTACGGCACGATTTCGCACCCTGACACGATCTCTCGCCCGGGGTGGCAATCTGATTAAAATCATCTGTTACATGGCTTCGTTAACTTCGTACTACGCCTGAACATCGTTCAGGCGGAGCCTTGTAACAGATGATTTTAATCAGATTGCCTGGGTGGGAAATTGTGTTAGGAGTGGGCACATTTCCCGCTGTCATGAGTACGCGGACGACCACTGATTTAGGGCGATTGTGGTATATACATATTTATTTATTTGCTAAGGCATATCGGGCTATAATACTTTCTGTTCTGTTTTATGGACCGCAATTAAGTCGAAAATAATGCATTGTCCAATATCCCTAAATTTCTGTATAAAAAGTGTGTAATGTCACTGTGCACACTGCTGCGACATGCGTTGATTTTTTTTTATTTGCATTTGAATAAATGTTGCTTAGATTTGGTGTGCAGGTGTATTATAACATTGCAATCATTTTCTGTTGCATTACTTGCGACTACAGGGTTAGTTTGGGCGCCTTATGTAACGGTCCCTGTTACGGCTAGATATTATTAGAAACACCACGTCATTGGGCAATATCCCAATTGAGATAGAGAGTTTAAGTGAGAAATCGTGTCACCTATGTCCATATAGTTTGCACAACCCCGGTGAGAAGTCGTGTTGCGAACGCAGTAATTTAGCACGATTTCTCACCCGGTTGAGAAATCGTGTCGGAGTGAGAAATCATGCCGTTACATGTGGCGCAGTGGATAACGCACTCGCTTTTCACCAAGGCGGCCGGGGTTCTATTCCCCGATTGGACGTGAATAAATATATGGTTCACCTGCTCGACCACGTAGGGTTTTTCTCCAGGTACTCCGGTTTCCTCCCACTAAGACCTCCGCACGCTGACATCCGGGCCAGTAAGAGTTATCAATAAAAGTCGTAATAACTTGTTTCACAATTGTTGTTGTATAACCAATAAAGTTTATATTACATTGAAATGATGCATTACTCATCTAGAAGTGTCCTCCTGTAGTGTTTAATGACTTTTGAAATTTCTAGTATTAGAAAATGGAACAATCAAACGAGTTTAACCAAAGTATCAGCATATACACAGTTAGACTGTGGGTCTTCTTGTACTGATCAGAAAAAAAATGGAGGTAAACGCAAAGTCTAGTCAGTGTCTATGTAGCGGGAAATAAAGGTCGCGGTTACCTATATTTCACACAACCGTGTATTAAAGGAATATATACTGGTATCAAAAGTTGCATTATTTTTTAATGGATTCACATTGGTATTATGTCAAATAATAAATTCCAAACATATGGACGTAAAATGCGTGCTTGTAGCAAATTGAAAAGTGGTACAATGAGTTTAATTAAGAGTGGTGCACATCCTAGTGCGTTAAATCCAGTTACTGCCGGAAAGCGTATCAAACAAGTTGTATATACGTCAGCATTATATCGTTGTGAACGATGGAATTTATCAAAGAAAGAGTTACTTATGTTGGAAAGAGCGCAAAGATTTATTTTAAAATCAATTCAAGGTTTTAGCAACAGAACACGTTCTGATGTGCTATGGATTGATTGGATGGACATCCATAGAAAGTTATATAGATACAAAAAAAATATGTTGTGTTTTGGTAGGTTGTGTTATTTAGATAAAATACCTTGTCATCACGTATATTTTTAAGAAGACTATACGTATCAATGCTGAACAGATCTGGTGACCATTTTGGACTTTTAAATGATATTTTGAGCATTTTTAAAAAGTACAATCTTTATAATATGTTGAACAAGTATATTCGAACGAGTGTATTCCCATTAAAAAGGCAATGGAAAATAATTGTGAATATATTTGTGTTGTTGAAAGAGGAACATGAATGGAAAGAACGAATATCAAATGATAGTGATTTTAACAGATTTGTAATGGTTCATAATATATTGCAACCATGCACATATACTATGGAAACTGGCAATGCAATTCCCGGAGTGTAAAGATTCGATATTTTATGTTACAAAATCAATAGTTAATATTCGTACTGTTAAAGCCAAAGAGCTATGTCATAGATGTGGTATTATTGACCAAGATATATTAACTCATATTGTATTCAAGTGTAGTGTAGTTATACTGAACACATACGGGACAAGTTGTGGTGCTCTATCGCAAACATTACTGATACACTCTCTGACAGATCACGAATTAATTCATATTTTAATTTGGGGACAAATGACCTTGCAGCTGTCGAAAAGATGCACAAATTATCATACCTGTAGGCCTAGTGTGTAGATATAATCTCACACCCTGATAAAGATTAGTATATAAAATTAAAAACAATAATATAAATGTTTATTACACGATGATATACACGTTTAAGTTGTAGATTATTTGTATGTATTACCTCATCATATATACACTTATTAATGTTATTTATTGAATATATG